TGCTGCTGTTGCTGATGCTGGTGTTGCTGATGCTGCTGCTGATGCTGCTGCTGCTGCTGCTGAAAATTCTTGTTGTTGTTTTTCGGGGCAGCTCCTTCTGCTGCTGCTGCTGCTGTTGCTTTAATTAAATGCTGCAATCAACTGCGTAGCGCGATATTTCCAATGAAAAATTACGAAAAAGTGGCAAAGGCAACCCAAGACATCGGTGGAGCTGCCGGTGCAGAGGGGGTTAAGAGGAGGGGACTGCTGCCTGACAGGGGTTAAGAGATGGGCGAAAGGGGGGAGAAAACCATTTGGCCGGCGGGCTGGCCTCGTCGTGTTTGTGCATTGAGAAAATTGTGTCCGTTGCACATTTGTTGACTTTGCCACTTGCCTGCGTGTCCGCCGTCCCCTTTCTCCTCCCACTCCCCCCCTTGGCGACCAACAAAAAGGCTTGCTGAATTAAATTCATAATTAATGCGTTGCATGCACGCACACACACACTGGCAGCACACATTGTGGCAGGGACACGTATGTGTAAGTATGTTTATGCAAACAGTGGTGTACTCAGAGGGGATCAAAGGGGTTTTAAGAAATTTTAGATATTTTATTTCATATTTTTAAAACATATTTATGACTCTTTTGGCAAGAACAGAATTTTTTATACAATTTTTGAAGTTCAAAAAGTCTTTTTAATTTTTCTCTCTTAATTAATAAAAGTATTTTTTTAAAACTGAATTTCGTATTAAAAATAATCAATGGAGTCTCTGGAAAGTTTAAATATTTTATTTTATATTTTAAAATTAAATTTCTGACTCTTTTTGCAAGCACAGAATAATTTATACAATTTTTAAAGTTCAAAAAATCGTTTTAATCTATCTATCTTAATTTTTAATTAATAAAAATGTTTGTTAATGACCAAGTTTCTCATTAATAAATACCCCCTTTGTAAAATCCTTCGACGCCTGTGTTTAGATACGTATAAAGCAGCTACCGTTGCCTCTTTTTGTTGCCTGACACGTTTATTAATACTGATTTTTTCAGAATACCCTTAAAGAAAAGGTATAACTAATTCAACTAACGTTTAAAGGATAAATTAACAAATTTCTCTATATTAATTATATATTTTTAAACAATTTTTATATATTATTAAGGTATTTTGTAGGTAATTTCAAGTTTATATCTTAATATTATTCATTGAATTGATAACTTTCTAGGTAAGTAATATTATAAAAACATTATTTATTAACAAAATAACCCATAAAAATAGTGCTTACATTTTACATTAATTTTTAAATATTTTTCAAATCTTTTTTATATTGTTTCAGCTTTCGGTTTGACTTTATTCTGTTCATATTTTGCTGGCAATTTTTGCCCTTTTGTTAATGTATTTTTGTGTGCTGGTTTGACTTTATTTTTTATTTTGATTTTTTGTTTCTCTCTTTTCCTTTGCATTTTTATAACGAATTTTGATTTTATGCCAAAAGCACGCAATTAGAATTTATTTCTTGTTCGCATTTATCCATTATGCGTGTTTTGCCTTTTTGCATCGGCACGCAATTTTGTTCTTCAAACAAGAACCAAAACAGCAAAAAAAAAAAAAACAAAATAACAACATGATGAAGAGGAATATGGTATGTACATATATATGTTTATATATATATAATAAGAAACAGAATGACTGAGCGTTTTGGCTGCATGGAACCGAACAGAAAATGTGGCAACTCACCCACTAGAGGTGGAAAAAGAAAACAGGGTCCCGGGAAAAGGCCAAAAGGAAAAACAGAAGGGGAGAATGCCACCGATTAGGTGTAATTTGTATTTAATGATTCATTAAAGCAATTTTAGTGTCAATCATTTTAATTTGAATGGCCTATCAGCAAGTGCCATCAGGTGACGAAATTAATCAAATTTCATATCAAATGTGTCAGCACAAAAAGTGTTTACCAAAAAAAAGGAAAAGGTTTTGAATAGACTTTCATATTTTTTGGGGGTTAAAAGAGTTGGGGAGGCTTAAAAAAAATTTAAGAAATTTTTATATTATATGGGAATATAAAAAAATTAATTATTTAGGAATTAAAAGGTAAACAGGAATTTATTTTAGGAGATTTATTGATTAATTGATATTGAATAGGGTTTAGAAAACCAAAAAAGACATTTATTTTTGAAATTATATATAATGTTAGATCAATTTTTAATTTTTAATAATTAATTAGGTTTTTAATAATACATTTTAATGGCAATCATGAGCTTTTAAGGCTTATTATGTCCTGAAATATTTGAATTCTTTAAATAGATATAAATATCTATTTTATAAATATAAATATAAATAATATAAATATTTTATTACATTTTTTTTATCAAATCAAATTAAGAAAATCCCATAACTAAGTGAAAAATTCATGAAATTCACTTCGGAAAACTTTTCTGTGCTAGTTTTTACTGAATTTTTAATTTTAAAATCAAAATTTCTACCAATTTCATACAATTTTAACGATGTAACCCCTGATAAAATTAAAAAAAAAATATATATTAAAATTTATTTTCTTTCCCAAATGACCAGACACACTCCACTGTTGATGCTAATCAAGTAAATATATAATTCATAAAGTCAGAAATGCCTCCTTTACATCTCTAAAAACTTCCAACTAAGATTATAAAACCCATCAGGGGTATAAAATTCATTAAATCCCAGCAATCCAGTAATAATATTTATAATTTCCCCTTAAGTAATAATATTAAAATGCTTCTTCAGAAGCCCGATTGCTTCTTAACTAAAGGCTAATTACAGATAATTACAACAATTAGACTCAATTAAAGTACTATATGCTCTGCAAAATACAAATTAGCTTCTTTAAAGCACTAGGAATCGGCATAAAGTACACTTCAATTTAAGGTTGCATAAAAAGCATTCTGATTTATTCATAGATTCAGCTTTCCATCTCTCCACTCAGTCCAGTAGCCGGGGGTCTTTATTAATTGCCACCGCGTTTTTTATTCTGGTTTTCTGGTTTTATGGGTTCCCTCTTCTCTCTCGAGGCTTTTAGTTTTTTGTGTTTTTTTAAAGCCTCGATGGAAAAGGTGTACGCAATTATTTATTTGCATAAAGAAAAACCTTCCAAACGGTAAAATGGCACGTAAAAATGTATTTAATTATAATTATTGCGCTTCTAATATTTGCCATGCCGCCGCCAGGCCCCGATTGTCGCTGCTGCTGCTGCTGCTACTGTGTTCTGTTCCATGGCTGCTTATTTTGTGTTTTTATTGCCGGGCTGTTCAGGGAAAATTATAGTAAATATAAATAATAAAACACGGTGCCTGGGGGTCCGAGCAAATGATAAAGTGCATTAAAATGCACGCAAAGGGGGGCGACAGGCGCGCTCGCGAGCTTCAGAGATGGGAAAGGGGGCGGCGCCCTGCCACGCCTCCGAAAACCGCAATTAAATTGCATGGCACGCAACAGGACGCACGACTCGATAAATTGTTTTTTTTTTTGCGAGTATTTTCTATGGCGAAATGCCATCTCCATGCCCCACCCCCCGGACTCCTCTTTGGCAGAGTGGACACTGGCCACAGCCGCTTATTATCGCAGCTAAATTATTCAGACAGCAGGAGGAGCTGCTCCAGGTTAGAGTTTCTGCGATTGTTCCAGGGCGGAGGAAGGCCATAAATTTCGCCCTGCACTCCGGACTCCAAACGGAAAGTGGCCTCTGGTCTAATGACGCCGCTGGAGGAGCAGCAGACGAAGCGGCCTAATGAAATCCCATAAAGCGACAGGCTCAGCGGCGGCGGCAATTAGTGCTAACCGATCTGGGTTGATTTTTTCCCAAAGCCCTGAAGGGTCTACAAGCCAGCAAAGAAAATGGAAAATGTCTGGAAAATGTAGTTTAAAGAAAAATCGTAAAACTAATTAAGACTACTTTTCTTGTATATATTTTAATAAATATTTTCAGGGAGATTCTGGTGGTAATGATCAAGAATATATATAGTTTTATAAAAACAAAATTATAAATAATAATATATATAATAATTTGTTACTAAAATATTATTCCTTGTCATTTTGAAAACAATAAATGATAACCTGAAAGATTTAAAATTAGTTTCTTGAACTACTTTAAAAGTATTTCCTGAAACCAACTACTAAAATATATTTAAATATTCTCTTACCTTTCTTTAAATTATAAATATATATATCATTTAATAAATTTTATACTTTTATAAGCAGCCCTATTAAAAATCTTATGAAAATCTTTTAAAAATCATCTTTAAAACTGATCGTAATTTTAAGACTTTAAACTGCAATCAGCAGCATCGCATCACATCGCATCGCTTACCGAGTTAAAACCATTGAAGTTCGCGTTTTATGGCCCATTTTAGAACAGCGAATAGATACAAGAAAGAGCGATCTTCATGGGGAGATACACAAAGTAGTTTACCCATTTAATAGGTCAGCTCTAGATGGCGGAGAAAGGCAGGCCAGGCCAGGCTGGGCTATCAAATGTGCCCCCATCGCCATTGTCCCGCATGCATAAGTGTTTGTCGTACAATATGTTGGGTTCTTTGCTTTTTTTTTAACGTAACTGCGAGAGTGTGTGCATGAGTGCAGATACAGTGGAAGTCAAGAAAATAGCTCTAAATATATATTCATTTTTATTTGATATTTAATAAGGGTTTTTTCAACACAATGTAATGATTAACAGAAACGTTGGCATGCTTATAACAACACAAACTTTTAACTTCTTGAAAAAATAGCTTAAAGAAATATTTAAAAAACAAAAGATATGGCTTTTTTAAAGAAAATAACACTTAATATAATATTTAATATTTAATATAAGGTTTATTTTACCACAAAGTAATGATTAACAGAAACTTTGGCATGCTTCAACATAAACTCGCCTTCAAAAGAAAGAAAAACTTGTAAATTCCTTAAAAAATACTTAATGAAATATTTAAAAAATAAAAGAGATCTTGTTTCATGACTCTTCTTTCAAAAAATTGTACTATATATATATTAAATATTTTTCAATATTTAAAATGCAATGATTAACAGAAACATTGAAATACTTCAAACTTTAAACTTTTCTTCAAAGTTGTGACAAACTTTTAACTTCCTCAAAAAATAACTTTATAAACTATTTTAAAAAATAAAAGAGATCTTGCTTAATGAACTTCTGTGCTTCTTTAAATTTTCTTCTCCGCTCAACGCCTATTCCGGGTAGATTTGGTAGTCCTCTTCTGGCTACGCCTGGAACTCTTGGCCACCGATTTCGTTTCCAATTTTAATACCCTTTCCCTGAGTTCTCTGGCAGGATATATGCCTCCCTGGATCGGTGTCAATGGCGGCAGCAATGCATTATCAATATTGCGTGATACACTGGGTGAAACCACTTCTATTTCATCTTCAGAAGAAACCACCTTAATTTCTGGCGAGGGTGATGGCTCCACCACAGGCTCGCCCTGCTCATCGAGTCCCAGCACTTGAAAGACATCCTCAAAGGAAACAGGACCCTTTAAAACACCCACGTCGCCCCTCACATTGATGCCTCGCAGATCCAAGCAAATGGCCTCGATGGCCCGCCAACGCTCTACGTCATTTTCAGCACTCTGTCTGGTTTCCGGATCGCAGATCTGCCTTAGGGCATGATGACAGACATTGCCCGAGTGCCAGACAGTCGGCGTTATCCTCTGGCTGGTCTTGAATCGCCTGAGAGAAGTGACTACCTTTGGCTTGGGCTTCTGATCCTCCTTTGCTCCACTTCCAGTCGCAGTCTCACTCAAAAGCATTGCCCGATCTCTTTTCAGCAGACTTCTAGTCATCATACGCGGATGCGCTGTGTCTAGCTTAGCTTTTGGAGAGTAGGCCGGATCGGTCTTAATGGACATCGTTCGTTTGCTGGCAGACCGTTTGGTGGGATTGGACCAGCCGGAAAATTCCGGTTCCTCCCAATCAAACCACTGCAGCGAATCTTCGGCCTCTTCGAAGCTTTTGATTCCGGTTAAGGATGCTAAAACGGATGCGGATGTGACACCCTTGCTCGTGCTGGGCAAGTCATCCAAGTCGCTTTGGTTCAGGGGAAGCAGGGCTTTGCGCAAGAGCGAATCCTTGGTATTCTGGAAAACGTTTTCCTCCTGGGGAAAGAAGTTAAGTCAGCAATTACGGATTAGTGATCTTATCAGTCACTAACCATTTCGATTCCAGGTTGGATTCTCTTTATTATGTGACGATTTTTAGGACAAAAAGCACATGCGTGCAGGTGGAAAAGGTAAAGGGTACAGTACTGCTTTTCCGCGTAGTATAATAGACTTTTTTCTTCTTAATAAATGTTATCAAAGTGTTATAGTGGCAAACAAACGAATTTAAAACTTTAAACTTTAAAAGAATTAATAAAAGGAAATTTTGAACGAAGGAATTTGCACACAAAAGTTAATAAGACCGATCAGGACTGTCAACTGGCTCAAAAATGTGACTTCCGATAAATAAGTGGGCTGCCAACCGTCTTCCCAAATGTATTAAATTTTGAAATTTAAAAAATTACAATGATGAAATTAGTCAGAAGGCCAAGCAGCTGTGTTTTTTTGGTTTTTGTGGAATATCTTTATTTTTAAGTTATAAGAGAGAGTGCCAACTTGCTTCCAATAAGGCAGCGCTACAGGTCTGCCAACTTGCTTCAAAGACTCCTTTCAAAGGTCCACTTAGTAACGAATGAAATTATATGAATAATTTATTTATTTATTTTATTAAGATATACATTAAAAAAGTAAGAAATCAGCATTTTTCATTCTCTTAAACTAGAAAATTAAACCACCATATTACTTTATTAATTACATTTTTTAAACACTATTATCTTGACCTCTATTATAGAATAATACGTATCCGCTGGAACAGTAGCCGGCACAGATGGGGAGCGTAGGCCGGAGTTCCAGGTCTTTACGATCGCTCCGCTCTTCAGCCTCAGTCCACAAATCCCCATACCAATTCCCATTCCCATACCCATTCCGAGACCCATTCCCCATACCCATACCCATCGCCATGCCCCAATCCCCAGCTCCATTCAGCGCATGTCATGTCTCGTATCTTTTGTGCTAATCGTAAATAACTGTCGAAATTTTTTGCTACTGTATGTGATTTGCACATGGCATGAGGATGAAAAGGAGTTGCGAACTCACTCCACTCCAGCCAGCTCCGAGTCGCCGCTGTTCCCCCTTGGACCACGGTGCGGATGGATACGCTTCTCGGATGGGGATGCTGCGCCTTAAATGCGATCCTCTGCGCTGTTCAAGTTGCTGTTTTTGTTGCTGTTGTATTATCTCTGATGTTGGCGATCGGTGGTATTGCACAATGGGCAAAGGTTTGGGTTTTTGTGGTATTATTTAATTATTTATACAAATATATATTGGTAAAATATATATATATATTATTCCCAAAAATATATAGTTTTTAAAAATGTACCATTCCATAATCCTATATGAATATTTAAGTAGTAAAGTCCTATTTAGAACCTAAACTTTTAATATTCAAGACATTATTTCTTCACAAAGATTTGTAATGTCAAAAAAGTCAAATTAAAGAATGGTATTCAATTGAATTAAATAATAATGGGGCTTACTCCATCAACCACATATCACATAGGCTAGGCCTAATCCGTTGCATGTACATATTTTTGACAGCGCTCTTCATCGACCTAATCCACTGTGATTCACTCACTGATGGGGAAACGGACCGACGACTGGTCGGATGGCCTGGCTGTTAAGGCCTCTTTATATGCGCACCTTAAAAAACAACAACAAGATGCTTAATGCTGTTTTCTGACTTAAATACCCGGTACTTGAAGAGGGCAAGGGTATCTTAGGTTGAAGGGAAGCTGGGACAGAGGGAAATGAAGATGCATCGATCTAGACAGAAAATAAATAAGGTTATCAACGATTAAAAATACAGAAACTTCAGAAACATAGAGTAATATTTATAATATTTTTTAAAAGATGGTTGTTGCTTTTATTTCTTTATTTAAAATATTAATTGTAATTTAAATTTATTTATAAAATTCTTAAATATTAAGTATTAGGTTGTCGAGGCCTTTTATTTCTACTTTACTTCTTGTATGATTTTATTTTTTGCCTCTTGAACGGGGCACACTTATAGCCACGCAGTCGAAGATACATACAACAGCACACAGTCACTTAGAGATTCAGATACAGATGCAGGGGGGGCATAGGCTTGAAACCGGAGTTGGAGCTGCGATTGAAGTTGGAGTTTTAGCCTGAAGCCTAAGGACTGCACAGGGAGAAATTGTGTGATCCAGTGTATAAAATAAATATAAGACAAAGCTTAAACACTCTAATCAATCTAATATTAATTCTTGCTCTTTAATAAAATTTAACAATATTTTAAAATATATTTATAAATACATTCATTATTTAATTCTAGCTTTTCTTTGTGTGTTGTTGGATTTGCTTTGGTTTTTTCCACTTATTTTGGCTTTTTGTTTAAGGCATAGCCAGAGCCACAAAGCGAACTGAGTAAAAACATGTTTGGATTTAATTCTTTTTATTTATTTTCACCGACGTCGCTGTCTTTTTTTTTCCTTTTTTTTTTTTTTTTGTTTTTTGTTTGTGCCATGTTGCTTTCTTTCGTTGCTTTTTGGACATGTATCCGAAAGATACTTTTTGTTGTTGCTTGTGTGTGCCACGATGATGACGCTGACAAAGGTCTCTCCGCCTCCGCCCCCTGCCACCCTGCCCCGCTGCCGTACGCGATTTTAATGAAGCACTTAAAAAGCATAAATGAAAATAAAAACCCAACGAAGGCAACAGACAGCAGAGATACTACCTCTCTCATCCCTCCTGCAGATCCGCAGAACGACAATTGATGTGGACCCTGTGCCTGGGTCTGGACCTCAATCTGGAACCTGGAACCGAGGGGACTTGGGACCTGGGACCTGGGACTCGACTCAGCAGCTCCGCTTTTTATCTGCCTGCAGTTGATGTGCGGCCGTCCGGGGCTGGGATCCATCCCCAGATACATTACTTTTTACTGTCGAAGTTTGTCCACAAGAAGAACATTGGCAGAACACCGAGTTATGGAAACAGTAGAACCTGACAAAGTGGATAATGAAAAATCCAAAATTTTTGGGAATTTATAGAATAACTTAATAATTAATAAAATATTATAGAGAAAAGATCTTACAGTTTAGTGGTTTCCAACCAAAATCAGTCTCCACTGTACTCACAAGTATCTTTTGCCCGGACTCAAATTAATTCTAATCTAGCAAATTACGGTGGACCATTTATGCTGCCATAAAAATTAAAGACGCCGGTCCCTCTCCCTATTTTTTTGGGCCGATAAGAAAGTGCGTGTGCGTTCATTATGCGGCTTTCGGCAAGGGAGGCTCATAGTTACGCATCTCGCAGATACATTACCCAGATACACACACAGAGCCAGAGTGATATCTGGCAGCAGTAGCCAATAAAACTGAGGGCATTAAAAACATTAACAGCCGCATTACGAATGCACAGAGATGGGGCCGGGCCAGTGGAGGTGGAGTGGCCATCTCGGATTGATAGAGTCGCCACTGACAATTGCCCATTGTCGTTGAATAATTAAGCAGGGGCACGGCTAAGTAGCTCATCCCCAACAATTCCGAGCCCAGTTCATTGCTAAATTATGCCGGCAAACAGGGCCCATTTCATCCCAGTCACATCATATACCGAGCAATTGGCACTAATCGAATTGATTCTTGAGTGACTTTCATCTCTGTCGGTTTATATGACTCGTTTTAATTCTTCTTTTTTATGCCACAAATTAATTGTTATGTGGAACAGCCTTTGAGATAGAGGAGCAAACTAATTGCTGTTGTCAAACGATTTGTGCATAAACATGGGGTACTTGAATTAATATTTAAGTGTAACTCGTTAACATTAATATTTTAGAATGGCCCATAAACCCAGAGATAATTTATGACTAGTTACTTTGGGTTTATTTCAAGGATTTAAGTCATGAAATTTGTCTTTAAAGATTCTGATTTATGAAAATATGCATTAAAGAAAAGAGAAAGGGATAAAAGTCCTCCTATGATAAAAAAAAAAGATTATCTAGATTTCTCTAAGCTTAAAACTAACCCGAGAAAGATACATAGATAGGTAGGTCAGTGCTGCTTTCATCAATTTGGAATGCTATTAAGACTTGCGTTACGACCACTAAATGCTCACATATTCTCGACTAGATTTATTTCTGAATTTGAAATCGTTGCAAAATGCCTTGTTTTGTTTATTTTGAGTAACACAAATCCGCTCCCGAGCACCCAACGAACACCCCACTATGTAAATAGTTGACCACCTCTGATTTATGCCGAATCTCGTTTGTTTTGCAGTCTCGCTCTCGCCCCATGGCTAGGGGGAAGGGGACGGGGTAAGTGGGGGGTGGGCGAGTGGGGGGTCGCTGCTCGGCATCGGGGTCTGGGGCACTGAGTAAATGAACGCTGCCTGCGTTGGGCTCTGCTGCTGCGCCTACGAAAGCTAGCCAATACCACTGCAATTTGCAGTGTGCGTGTGCAGGCGGGTGGGCGTGTGTGAGTGAGTGCTGCATTCGTGTTGCAGTTGTAGTTGCGGGTTCATTGCACGTACACTCGCACACACACAAGCACACGCACAGCACCCAAAACGGCCAACGACGAGCAAACTGAACGACCAAACAACCAGGCGACCGACAGAACCACCCACTAGTGATGGCACTTTGAACTAGGCTAGATTACTTTGGTTTAAATAAAGTGAGATGGTAAAATCATGATTCTAGTAACAAGCAAATCTTGCACCTATTGAAAAATTTTACTACCCATCTTTGCTATCTTATATTTAAACTTAAAATTTAAAGTTTAAAGCTACTTGTGACAGTACTGACCATGTACGCAGTGTGCCAGTGCCACCTTCACGTTTGCCTGACTGTTGCACCGTTCGTCGGTTGCCTCGTCGCTTTGTTGCGTGTTCGTGGTGCAGTTGTTGTTAGTGTTACTGCTGCTGCTGGGTCTCCGGTTTAGACAGCCGGGCTTCGGACTCCGGGTCTCCTTCTACCTCCCTCTCCATCATCCGCTTTCTGCCTCCCTGCCATCCGCACCTGCCCCCCGGCTCCAGCCGTGTCTCTCGTCTTCGGTCATCGTGGATTTCAGTGCTCTCTGTTTTGCGGACCTGCACTTTACTCTGCAGTCGGCGCTGCTCTTTTGTTTCGCTTTTCGCTGCTTCTAATGCTCTTTCTGCCTCCTCGCCCCCACCTCCCACTCCCACTCTTCTCATTTCGATGGCTCCAAGCCGCCTTCTCCTAGCAGAGCGACAGGGAGGAAGAGAGTGTGAGAGAGGGAGCGTGAACGAAAGAGAGGTAGCTTGTTTATCGTGGCCTTTCTTTTGGGCTGCCAGCCCGCTGTTTTTTCTCCTTCGTCTTTCATTGTTTTTCTTTTCAGTTGTTTTTCGGTTTTTGCAGCTCTGAGCT